AATTAAAATAATATTTTGATGCTTTGTTCCTATTTTTTTTAACGCTTCGTACTGTTATGTTAAATTGTGTCTTCTTCTGGTATTAATGAAACTAGTCGTCCTTCTTTGAACTTCCTTTCTTGTAACTTTTGCAAGTTCTTTATATAAAGCAACTTTTCAAATATAAACTGTTTGAAGAAGATATTGTTTAGTGAATGGATGCGTGATATTGTGACGAAGAATTTTTTTACATTAACGGAAAGTCTGAAGCGAATATTCCCAGAATATTTTCTTCACATCTTCATCACATCCCTGCGCCTTTCACGCTCTGGACTTCACAATGGCCCTCGCTGTTCCTTAGTATAAAACTAGAGTGACAAGTAGTCAGCACCATTCTTTTAATAAACATTTACCCTGGTCTCGTTGACTTCGCTTTTTCTCTTCTTTTGTCCAGGAGACATTTTGATATTTTTTTTTTTAAAAAGAAAGAGATTAATATTTGATTGATGATACACGTGTATACATACAACTTATATAGTGTGCGTATTCTAAAGAAACTGCCTTATATTTAAAAATTTAACTCTGTTAGTTGATAGCATAGGTCTCTTTCTCTCTCTCTATCTTTAATGTAACAGAGAGATTTTCTCAAAAAAATTGTTTGTTCTGTAATTGAGTAAAATCATGATGTTATACAGAACATGTGATTTATTAAAGATTATCATAATTTTACGCGGGTCCCTCCGTGACATTTGCGAACATTATTTATTTATTTATTTATTCCTATCTATTTATTTTATTTACTATTATTATCATCTATTTATGAACCTAAGTTGGTCGTAAAGACTGTAATTAACACAAAATGTTAGCATTGTTATTTATCGACTAACTAAGGCCTCAAACTATTATTTTATTTAATTCTTATACATTAATGGACAATAGAATATTTCGGTTTAGCTTGTAGAATATATTTAGTATTTTTGATTTTGAATGTAATATAAAAGGGGGGAATGTCGTTTTATATGTGGGAATAGGTGGATTCTTTTGTCTTTACTTATTACGATCATAATTAATAATTAAATAAAAACACAAGTTATAACAAAAACTCTGCATAATTTTTGTATCAATTAATTGAATAATTGGTAAATTCGTTCAGTCGACTATTCGGGTAATTCCCGTAATAATTAATTAATTAAGTAAATAATAATTTCAGCCTGACGGGGGCAGCGAGAACTAAATACCCAAGACTAATCGAGGATTAGTGAAAGATTAATTCGTTGGGAAACGAATTGAATCTATAAGGACAATTAATTAATTAATATTTACGTTTAGAAACGAAGTTCGGAACAGAATTAAAAACAAACAAAACCAATAAATAAAACTTACTAAATTAAATATGTATTTCCGATTTGGTTTACAAGTCTTATCAAAGTCTGAAGTTATTTATGATAAATTTAAATTAGGTTCAAATTTATACTAATATCAATATCAATACTAATATTTATATTAATATCATTTTAATCTCTCATCGACACAAAATAATGAAATATTAATCATCAATTTCTATCTAAGATAATTCATATTGACCCCTTAATGGCGCTAATTTTTTGGCTATACTGATTTCAGAGTATCGGCTCACCCTTCTTTTCTTCCTATGTTCTATTAATTCATTTCTGTGGTATTAATGCTTAACTATATTCACAAAAAATGTAATTAATGGTTTGATACGAGCACATAAAATGCAAATAGAAAAATGAAAGCATGCAAATACTTACGGCCATTTGACTACTGCCTCATATAACCAAACAAAGTTCGGCATATCAACCCAATCTTTTGGTAGACCGAAATGATCAACTTCGAATAACCGATGGACACCTAAAATTGTATTTATTAATTTTCAGATTATTTGAAATATTTTTAATACAAATTTACGTAATGCATTGCATACTTCTAAAATCCATCACAGTAAGTGATAATTCGGTTTTAAATGCCGTTAAACCATATACTCGTAAGTCGGTAAAGAGTCGTCGGCGTACATCAGCTTCTTCTATGACAATATTAATATATAATGCTGCCATGCTGCCTGCATTTTTGATGTCATTATCAAAGCATTTTTTTTGCGATGCACCCGGTCTAGCTCCCTCACCACAAACTATCGGGTAGTTCACAACATCGTTTAGAAATCCCACTCCATCGGTCCGTATTTTGAGCCCAAGATCTTCAAAGGTATTTCTCCACTATATAACATGAAAATATTTTATTCGTACTATAATTTATGTAGAAAATATAAGTTCAAGCTACTTACTATATGTAATTAATTTTAGCAAAAGTCCATAGTGCCGAATCAATTATAGGGTGTACGAATTGATTAAGATGTGGTTTTTCAAGGAATGTAATATCCCTCAATGGATTTGAACCCTCCAGCGAAAATGCTTTTAAACTAAATATAATGAAAAATAATTAGTAAATTAATTATACAAATATTACTAAAATCGATTGCATAAATTTTCTCTAATCCTTACAATTTTGGTAACGTTTCTTGAATTAATTTTTTTGTATTTTTTAAGAGTTCCGATTCATGTGCGTTAAAATCCATATTATTTATGGCATTACCCCAACCTCGTGCAGTAAGGTCTTCGTTGAAAAACTTTGTGAGAAATTCGTGGATATCATCTGTAATATAGCTATCGATTTCATCAAAATTTCGTGCAACACTTTTTTTTGAAGGTCTGAGTCCAAGAGTATCGAAAATTTTGATTTTGGTCGTAAATCCATTATAAACGTTTTGGGGAATTTATTTAAAAAGATTTCTGTAACTTCATTTACAACAGATGAAACTTCAATTGAGCCCTCAAGGATATCCTTGACACATATCGTCTATAGAAAATAAAAAATCATTATTTTTTCCCAAAAATATTACCAGAAACGCATTTTTTTACTAACCATACTTTCATCGGCAGCTACATATTCACCTTCATTTTCTTCCTGTTCATTATTAACAGTAGTCTGTGTTTCTGTTCTAGAATCTTGATTTTCGGAGTCCCTGATGTCTTGATCGTTATTCAAAGACTAGAATACAGTATATCAGGAGATCTCAATGAAATTATCCAATTGGTTTATGTTTCAAGAATTTAATAAATAATTAGCAAAATACCTACTCTTGCAAATTTTTCGCTAGTCTTTCCTGTAATAGCCGTTTTATCGGTAACGACACTTAATTCAACATTTACTTTATATCGATCCTATGATAATATATTAAAAGTTAATTTTTAATCGTAAAGTACACACAATAGATCATCAACGTTACCAACCTCAGCAAATTTTAGATCTTGACTTTCAATGAAATTCAAAATCTCTTTTCGTTTTGTCAGAGTTTCCTGCAGATTTTCAAGAAGCTTGACGGCCCTGTTTCTTGCTGCCAGGCGAAGACTTTTGTGATCAGATAAAATTTCTAATTGTCTTTTTAAGAAGTTACCAATATCACTCATATTTTCACTTGTAAAGTTAATGTTACTTGATATGTAACGCAGGACTTCAAATACGCTTCATTTAGTATAATCATTCAACCGAAAATAATTTACAATTTGATTTTCGAAATCCATCCTTTAAAATAATAAAATTATTATTAGCTCCACAAAAGAAAAATATAAAAAATCAAAATCATGCAGCAATAACACAAAAATACTGGCTTGATGCAATGCTTTCTGGTTAGAGGGTGGAAGGCGTGAACTACAATGAGAAAGTTGGAAAACAATGCGTCAAAGAGGATAGCCCCCCAGATCTCTACCAAGCATCCGCCACAGAGAGGTACATAACGCAATTGCTATGCTTCGCTCTGCAGGTTAGGAAGCATTACATCCAATATACTAGAGGCAAGAATGCAGGCGTGAACTACAATGAGAAAGTCCATCTAGACAGATGAACGATGCGTCAAAGAGGATAGCACACACCTTGCTCTAAACAACAGCTGCAGGAATTAACTAGACAGTAAAACAATCTAACTCTGCCGTACAGGCATTGGATATTGTGGGTCACCAGAAGTAATCTTTTTTCAACTTGCCTTAACAATAACAGGAAAACATGTGGTGAAAAGAAAAACGCGTTTTCATGTCGATCTGCAGCGAGTATAGTACAAATACATAACGCGTATCTTTTTTGTACAGTACTGTACTCAAGCTAAATCTTATAGTTAGTACAATTAGTACAGTTATAAATTTAAAATCCAAAGACTGTATGTTTTACCCAAAAGTATTTAATTGGAAACATGATTTTAATTATACAATTGAAATATAAAGCTAACAATGTAATTATTTGGACATTATGTAAAAAACCTCATACAGATACTTTTTGGAGGGTAGCATAAGATAAAAATAATCTTGAGATTTTAGGTCAGATTATTTTTAATTAATTTTATTTTTTAACTTTAAAATAACATTCAATTTAATAAAACATCAAAAAAATTAATTTTTAAGTTGAATTCTTTTTCTAACAGTTTCATAAAGCTTCTCTTCAAGTTGAATTCTTTTTTTCTAAAAGTGCAATTTCTCTTTCTTGAACAAATAAAGCATTATCTAATGTTGATTGAGACACTTCAGTAACATTATTGTTATTTTCATCTTTATCCAACTCAATAATCATATTTGCGTTACCACTAGTTTCACCTTGATTATTACTTCTAGAATTATTAATTTGATTAAAAGCTTTGGTTGTAATTTGTCTTCTAGGTTTTTTTGAAGTTTTTTTAAGACCTTTACCTATTTTTATTTATCATTTTAATGTTAAGTAATTCTAAGCAATATAAACCAAAAATTTTAATTCTCACCTTCTTTACATTTAGCAGCATTTACATATTTTTGTACTTGGCTCTTATTTTTAGAAGTGTCGGAGATATTAAAGCTGATTCACTTCTGCACTTTTCCATTGGTTTTTATTAAAGTTTTGAGCTCTATAAATTTTATATTAATTGATTAATAAATTAATAATTAATCTAATAATATAACAAAGGAAATGTTTTAATTATATGTTTATGGCTGCAAGTAATGATAGTTTAATTTCATCTCTGTTAACATTAGTATGAGTACTTTCCATTACATTAGTGTTGTTATGAGTTTGGTTTCATAACCCTAATGGAATATTTGTATAACATTTATTTATAAAAGATAAAACCCAAGGAGTTTGTTTATGATGAACCCAATCTAATACAATTAATACAATTACTATATTAATATATTAATAATTTATACAATAAAATAATTAAATTATATCAAAAAAGTTAAAAATAATCTTTCACAGATTTATAATAAGAACTTATAAGTGTATTAAGTGCTGTTTTTACTTCTGTTTTAGTTTCAAGATGAGGTATTACTTTCATTAATTTTTTAGTATTTACATCAGCACCTTTAATTTTATCTACATTCTTTTTAATAAAAATTTAATTAATTAATAAACAAATATTTAAAACTCTTAATAATAATAAATATATTTAAATGATACCTATTATAATGAATTATGCAAGTTTTATATATATTTTTCAAGTGTTCTTCAACAGATTTATTGTTCTCTTAAATGTAAAAATTGACCTATTCCTGATTTTATAAAAAATTGTTATTAACAAATTATTAAATAAATAATTTATAAAAATAATTGTTATAAAAAAGCCTATCAATTGCCTATTCAGGATGTGTATCTGCAATGATATATCTTAACCCTTTACCATCAATATGGTTGAATTTGAATATTTTATTGGTATCATATTCAACAGTTGTAATAACTTCTTGGAACATGTATTTATAAGCTTCAGATGTCTCAATATTAGTAAAAACTCTTGTAAAAGTAAGTGCTTATAATAAAAAAAATTTAATACATATATATATATCTAATCAATATAATATAAATATCCAATATGCTTAACTTGATTTATAACTTTCTATATATAAACATAATATCCATCCTTTTATTGAATGTCTATTAATTACTGTGTTTACATGTTTGAATGTAGAATCTATTTCTAATAATTTAATCTTGCATAAAAAATGAGACTGTTATTTGCTCATACAAAGAACTAATATTTGACCACTTGGAAAATACCTGTAAAGTAATTTATATAAATATTTTTATTTCAAATGAATAAAGACAAACTGATAAAATATTTAATACTTACAGATATCTCTAATATAAGGATTATTTTCATCTGTATTAAGTTGACGTAAGATTTCATTTACTATACCTATAAATTTAATAAATTCAATATTTTAAATCTTCAAAAGTTATTATAATGTAAAAAATAATTATAATTTCAATTCATCTAACAAATCAGATCCATAAGGATATTTTGTCCGTCTAGCTCTACATATATAATAATTGATTTTGGTTTAATTGTTAAATGATGAGTGTAATTCATTGAGTTGAGTAATATTTAAGTAAGCTTTGATAAGGAAACCTAAGGGTATAAATTAAAAGTAATTATTATAATGAAGCTATGAAAAAGTTTAAATTTTAAGGCTTACCACTTGTAAGTTTTTGAGCTGTTAAGTTTAAATAATCATCAGTATTTAAAATCTGTTGAAATTGCTTTACTATAGAAGAAAGAGTTTTTGTTGGTGAAAAAGGTGGATGTTCATGAACACCTTTGAAATAGTAACTATAATAGGACACTTTACTAAATCAAGTGGTACAAAATGATAAAATTTAACATTGCATCCTTTTTTAATAATAGAGCATCAAAAACTATTCTATCAACTACATGAGAATATCTTAAATATATTTTAAGTTAGTTTGATATTTGACTCATAAATGAAAATAAAATAAAAAACAAATTCTTATTACATGTTATTCTTGTACTAGTCAATGGATACACCGATTTACAATTTCCTACAGATAAAAAATTTCTATCCAAGTGTTCTTAATAAATAATTTAATAATTTAAAATTAGTAAAATATTTAGCTGATAATTCATTTATCTTATTGTTAACTTTACCTCAATATTGTCATCTAATTTGCAGAAATTATAGTTTTTGAAAAATTGTCTGTTACTTAATAAAATAAAGATTGATAAAAAACAAATTATTCTATACATACTATTTGATAGTGAAATTTTAGAATAGGAATTCTATTACAATTAATCTTCCCATCTTCAATACAAAAAGTAAACTTACATAGAATTTTAAATGATGCAATATATTAGCTATATTTGTAAAACAATTTAGTAACTAGTAGAAGTGATTAAATAAATAACAACATATTTTTAATTAATTACCATAATGTAAGCTTATGGAAAGATAATTCTCTCATTTCAAAATTTCTTTATTTGTATCATCTTTAAAATTTACATAAGAATGTTTATATTCTAATAAACTAGGAGCAGTTAATTTACATATTTTAACCTTCCTGCATGTTTATTGTTCAACCTTACATTTTACACCCAAAAAATGACAAAAGATCACCCAAATTTTTCCAGAATTCCCAATTACATATTGGATGTTATGCAATTTAAATGTTTCTTTAGCTTCTGAAGAATTCAATTTCAATAAATTATATACACTAGCTGTACCAGTCTCAGAAGTACAAGGATATTTTTAGAATTCAAGGTAATACTTTAAAGTTTCAATTTGTATTGAGTGGTTAAAAATAGTATAAGTATATGACTATAATGAGATGTAGAAAAAAAGAAATTGATTAATTGATAATTCATTATAGTTTTTAGATATTAAAAAAATTTATTATACTATGATCTTCCACATCAATAACATTATTTGTATTGATGTTAAAATTATTAATATTATTGTTTTCAATTGAAGGACTAGAAATTGTATGAACATTACTCAACTATATATATAAAAAAAAATTTAAATAAATAAAAATTGATTGATTAATTATTAAAGTTTTTATATGTTAAAAAAATGATTACATTATTATCTTCAATAATATCATTTTTTACATCAATTACATTATTAATATAACCATTTTTCACGTCAATAACATCATTTTCATCATTAATATAATTATTTTCCACTTTTATGTTAGTAACATTATTTATACCACCAATATTAAAGTTTTCTGTTAGGTCTTCATTTTCTATTGTTGCTTCAGAAGTATCAGAATCCATGAAGTTGAAGTGGTTTTCTCTTCAACCATGTTTATAATTTTTTTTTAATATTAATAAAATATATAAAATATAAAAAAATATATATTAGGGGTATACCACTTACTTGATCAAAAGAAGATAGGAAATTCAACATACTCTTGAGTCAAAAGTCTTCGAAAAATTTAAACTGGTTGTATTACATTTAAATATATATTTAGTATAGTCAATTATGCATGCAGATCTTTTACCATTTGTATTATACTTACTGCACGAAGTGTACTGTATACAGTCAACTCTTGTTATAACGAATTCTATGTTCTAGACCTCAACTTCGCTATAAGGCTATAGTGAAGATTTTAAGAGATTTGATTGGCCAATTCGCTATAACAAGAGTATTTTTATTATATTTATTCAAAAAATTCGTTATATCAAGAGTTTGCTATATCAAGAGTTCGTTATATCAAGTGTTAACTGTATACCTAATTTAATTATCACCATAAATTGATAAAAAAGTCTAGCCTAACAGGATTAAATAAAGCTCAATATTATGTAAATGAAAATTTTTCAATATTTAGATATTAAAGCTATTTTAGGAATTTATTTTAAGAAACTGAATGTTTACAAAAGTATCAATATTTTCTTTTTGAAGCATCTAATCTTGATATAATAAAAGTTCAAGAAACTGCTAATAGATCTTTTGTTGAGTTTAATTTATTGAAAACTAAGAAAGCAGATATTTTTAAAGAAATTAAAGCTTTATTTATTTTAGTGTTAACACCACCTCCTTTGAATTATAAAAGATAAGAATATCTTTACCAGAATATTTATCCATTTGTAAGGGATGAATTTAAAAATATTACTTGTCCAAAACCAATATAAAATTTTATTAAAATAATATATTATGGTAGTAAAAGAAATTCTAGCATCTGAAAATAATCAAAAATTAATACAATTAAGAAAAAAAGCTGAAGAACTAGAAGAAATGTTAGTGGAGTTGATTAAGAATAAATGTCTAATAATAGATAAATATAAAAATGGCATAATTGATAATTTAATAATTATAAAATTAAGATTACAAAAAGAAAACTTAGAAGTAAAAATGTATAAATTAACTAAGGAAAAAGAAAGAATTAAAAAGGATTATAAAATAACATTGCTGAAGTAGTTTCAAAATATTATGAGCTAACTGATGAAGAAATGAAAATAAATAAAGATAATTGAAAAGAAGAATTCATTAATCAATTAAGAAATGAAGAAAGAAATAATAAAATAATTAAAACTATTAAAATTATTGAAAATTGAAAGCAAAAAACTAAAGAGGCAAGATTAGATGTTAAAACTAACTTTGAAGCCTTAGAAATAGCCCAAGAATAGAGAGAAAGACAATTAGCTGAGAAATTAGAGCAATTAAAAATAGTTAAGAATCAGAAGATAAGTTGGCAAGCCTAAGCAATCTAGAATCTAAAACAAGAACTACACTCCCTGGTCAAAAGTATTGGACCAAAAAAAAAGTTATCGCAACTTTTAAATTTATGACTAATTTTAATTTTTTAATTATAAA